TTTTTTTTTTTTTTTTTTTTTTAAATTTTTTTTCGTGCTTGGTGTGTATTTAGGGGTAGTTTGGGAAGATAGTGAGGTTTTCTTATAAATTGTGAAAATTTGAATTAAAAGTTCGAGTGAACTTAGAATATGAGATGAACAAAGAGAAGTGCGGGGTTTAAATAGGAAAACTCGAAATAAATGCATCGACAACTCAACCTTTCATAGTATTTGTTTTCTTCTTTTTTCTAAGCTAGCTTGAAATGCCGCATTTCGTAGACACACATCACAAGGCTTATAATCTAGCTTGATATAACATTGAGCTCCTCTATTTAACAGGAAAAAGATGGAGAGAGTCAAAAGATCCGGGGTGGGGGGGGAAAGGCTGTGCACTTTGTATAGGATCATGAGCCTATATTTAGTAGCTATCAGAAGTTTAATATAAACTGTACAGAGTATACGCAAAATTTGAGCCTTACAATTGATCCAAGGGTACCCCATGACGATCTTATGCACATCTGCAAGAAGCTTCCTGATACCAGCTCCCCATGTAGTAACCTTGGGTTTGCATGATTCGTTCAAATTGTCCAATACATTTCTCAAGTGACTTAAAACCAGTTGGTCTAACCTACCCAAGCTTGCCCTGATTTCCTTGGTCCAATGCAGACCAAAGTACAGCTATATAGCAATATACAATTTTTCACAAGAGCCGCTAAAATATGGTTTCCATGATCAGCCCTTCTATAACATCTTCTATCATCTCAAAAACAGTCTCCTCAACATCATTTCGGATATCCAGCCACATTCCAGACTGTGCTATGTCCTTTTCAACAATTTGCTGCATCGTATGCGGTGATGGATGCACAGACTTCATCACTTCATGAATCACAGTTTTCTCAATGCAAAGTTTTCTTCTGGCATTTGGCTTGATAAATGACACCCAAGGGGAGCATGGAAGATGAGTATGACATACCTCGACAAGGACTTCATTTATACAGTCAAAGAGGAGCATACAATCACCATGGAATTGGTTAGGCTGCACCTTTACTGCATCAAACAAGAATGGATCAAGCAGTCGATCGGATGATTGACACATCATCGAGAGCTCATCCCAATTCAAGCCAGAAGCTTGCAGCATGGCCATCACGTACTCAGAGATATATTCATGTTCATTCAAAAACGAGGTTTCAGGTTCCAAAGGGGACTTCACAAGAAGAGCAGGATGGTGCTCTTCAGCTGCATGGCATGGTTGAACTCAGTTACATGAAGTGAATTGGGAAGAAGGAAGAAAAGAAAAAAAAGGAAAAACCGGTAGATCCTGATGAAGGTGTACCAGGTTCAGATATGGTGCTTGCATAACTGGTGGCATCTACAAAAAACTGCTCAAGTACAGAAACTGGACTTGGCTGTTCTCCTTTATCTTCGATGCAATCAGAATCTTCCACTCTCTGAATACTTGAAGGGCTTAATTGAAAAACATCCGGTGAAGATGTTAATGGCTGATCCTCAAAAGGTGAATCCAGAAAAATCTCAAGATCAGTAACAAGACAACGTAATAAAGCACATATTTTGGCAGCATAAAGTGGACAAAGAACAGAACAGGTGGTAGAGAGAATAATTCCAATATAATTTGAGAGAAAATCAATTTGGGCACTTTACCTGTCTGGATCTCTTAAAACACTCCTCTTCCTCGTACATGTTGGTTGTTTCTGAGCTCTGATCTGTGCTGTCTAGTTCAGTCAGTATTTCTGAATGCTGAGTTTCTCCTTGGCATGAAGTATCATTAGTCTCTGTGGTATTGGTCTTCTCCATGCAATCTGGTTTGGATAGAACTTCCAAATAATTAGTTTCTCCTGGGCGGATAGTATTGTTAGCTTTTATGGTATCAAATTTGTCTGCGCTTTCAGATTCGGAGGGCTCTTCTAAAGAACTGGTTTCTCCTTGGTGCAAGGTGTTATCATTCTCTACAATTTGGACACAGCCTGCAGGAGATGGATTATTTGGCCGTGTATCAAAAACTTGCAATTGATCATCGAGTTTCTTATTTTCAGGCAGGGCCTCTACGTCCTGCCTCAATGGACTTGAGTAGCCGGCTTTCTTTTCTTTATGAAGCCTCCACTTGTTCTCATATACCATTTGGCAATTGCTGTAGGGTGAAAATGTCATTTGCTCGTTAAGAAACCTATTTTCCCAGTCCCTTACCGGATTACATGCAGGCAAGAAGTCATACTCAGGAAATGACGTCACCCTTCCCCATGTTTTTTGTGCCTGCCTTTCAAAGTAGCTCTTCTCCTTGTTCCCATTGTTTAACAATTCTGAGAGATGTTTCCCAGCCTCCACAGAAGTTTCAGATTCCTCTCGCTTGGGTTGGCTAACAAGCGAATTGTTTGAGTTTCCAAGACCACTTCCACTGGTTGATGCAGCTTCATGTCCAATACTTGATTCACATTGTTTCACCTTGCCTATGTTTTCTTTTTTCTTGATATCAAGAGAAGACTTGGTCACTCCTCCAACATCAACACTAGGTGAATTGCTTCTAATGATCTTCATACCCTTTCCTTTACAATCATCTCCTGTGCTTTGGCAGGGAGATGTATTTAGTGTACCATCGATTGACTTGGAGTGCTGCTCTTTTCTGCTTTCCGATATAGCATGTCTCAGTTTCCTCTTTATACGGCTAAAGGAGGAATTTGCAGGTGTGTCACTCTGCCCATTATTTCTCAAGCTTTGCAGAGAGGTATTGATACTCTCTGAAGAAATTTCCATGCTTGGTGGGCCAGGTTTTAAAACTATTATTCTCTCTGGAAACTCGGACTCACCATTTTCCTGAGACGGGTAAATATCACAGGATTTCAACGTGTGAATACTGGAAGGACCTTCAGATTGCCTTGCTTTGCTTGTCCGATATTCTGAAATGTTGGCTTCACAGGGATCTTTACTCTGATGTGTTCTTGCCTGAGAGTCTCGGAGGTCTTCGATGTGTTTGACTAGCAGAGAATTTGGGTCTTGTAGGAGTTTTCGAAATAACTCCTTATTCGAATTCAAAATTTCTAATGCATCTAATAATTGTTTAGACTGGTGGTTCACCCCATCAATGAATTTCTGATTTATGATGGCCTCAGCTGCATTCAGCTGTACTGGCACAAGATTAATCTCATTAAGTTGGTCATGCTTCACGGTATCAATACTTTTACAACCGCATCCTCGTCGGTTTTTGCTATGTACCTCTTTGCTAGATACTTCTGGCAGTGCTGCTGAGTTGAGCTTATTCAAAGGTTCTTCCACCAAAACTGAATTAGAATGTTTTTGATGCTTAGCTTCATGGGATCTCTGACGCGTTTTGCTAGTCTTTCCATTGTTTTTTGGTAAATGACCAACAAATTTGGAATTAGATGGTAGATCTTCCCCTTCATCAGTAGCAAACTTCTTGTTCATCTGCGGCTCAGTGGACAAGTCTTCTCCTTTCAGCTTTCTTTTACTTGCCATATCAGAATCAACTGTCTGAGTTTTGTTCTTCATTCTGTCCTGGAACAATTGAAGTTGCTAATCAGTTAATTCTTCTAATGCTTTAATTGATCAAGTAACCAGCCAGCGGTCAATACCGTGAGAGAACATTAAATAAAAAAGAGACCAAAATGAAGAAAAAGTATAGAAGAAACGAGCCTAATGGAACTTACAACCATGCTTCGGCCATTCTCGTCCATTTTGTTAAGCAAATCAAGCTTGGTCTTAAAATTTCCATCATCTACATACAAAGAAAAATAAATAGATAAACTTTTCAATCTTATTGAATATAATAATTAGAAGAATATAAAACAAATGCATAAATATAATAGGAAATCATAACAAAGTACAATGATCTTTTCAATACTGCAAAAGAATTTCAAGGTATATCTTATTCAGTACTTTTAATTACTCTTTGATAAGTCTATCAGCACTTCGTGAAACGACGAAAACAAACACTATCATCTTGCTTCAGCATTGTTTAGTTCACAATTATGCATGTAAAATTTTATCGAATACGGCAGCTGGGTGAGTACAAGCAGTTCATAAAGACTTGCATCTGTCTTGCATTTGTCATTGTACAGCATAACGAAAAATTCTTACCCAGTCTGTTTGTATGCCTCTTATGTGAAAGCCGCTTCTTATTAGAATGACCTTGACGGAAGTTGAAGAGGCCATACAAATGCCACATACAGCCTGTCTCGTACTTCTCACATACCATAGGGCTTTTTGGCATAGGACTTTTTGGCATAGGACTTTTCGGCATAGGGCTTTTTGCTGGTGTCATCTTTGCCATGATGAGTGAATTGGGAGAGCTTGGCTATAGCATATAACACCAAATTAACATCAAACTAGAGAATAAATAAAAAGAAAAATAAACTGTGGGGATGAACAGCTTAGTACACAGCATACAATAATATTGTGTTAGTTTCAAACCTGATGACCCCAATAATAATGCAATTATTTGTCTCTTGGATAGCATAATATTGGTACTTTGAAATAATTTCGCCCAAAATAAATGAATGAAAGACATGAATAAATAAACATGACTTGTAATGTAAGAATAGAGAATCAATTTTTTTGCACAAGTTTCGCCCTGAGAAGGACAGTTTTCTATAATCCAAACACATAAACAATGTCACGCACCTAACCAAGAAGAAACAACAAATAAGCATAAAAAAGTTTATATCCAAGTGCACACTCAAGTCAAGAGAAACACCAGTTGAACATATAATCTTCTGTTCTACAGATGATTGTATTATATGCAATCTGCAATATTGTCTTTGGTTTGTGTCCTTGTTTTACGTGTGTTTTGTACTTATGTTTTTGTAGTGTGCAAATTATTTTAAACGTGTTGTCCCACCATGTGTTTTCTTCAACAATCACACCTAACATGATTTGTTTATTTGGAGGAAAAATCGTAGATTCCTTCTGAAGATGGAACTTTAGCCTCAAGTATTGCTAGTCATGACTCGAGTGACAGACAGGCCATGGCCATCAATTCATTTCCCAATAAATCTTTTACCTTCAAAGTTGGAACACCTAACTAACTTTTCAGCAATTCATTAAAAATTATAGAACAAGAAAAAGAAAAAAGGAGGAAATTCAAGCCAACGTATCTTCTACTCTGTGCTACCTCAATTTTAGCAGCTCGGTGGCTGCCTCTGTAAGTGTGATTAGCTCCTAATTTGCTAAAGCACTAATCAAATAAAGAGACATTTTCTGTTTGTTTCTATGGAAAGTGTTTCCAATGAAAATTATTGTCTAACAGCCAAACCAAAAACATAAACTGTATAAACTTGCAAGCCCAAGATTTTAAATGTTACAAACATCAACTGAGATGAAGAAATTTCTACAAGGAAAAACATAAAAATAACACACAGAGAGAGAGAGAGAGAGAGAGAGAGAGGTACCTGAAAAAGCTTTTAGTTCCTCTGCAGTGCTTGAGAAAGAAAAAGGGAAGCTTTGTGGTTTTTGACTGAAAAGAGAGTAACGTATGCAGAGGAGGCTCTGGACTTGTTGCTTTATATATAGCAAGTTTCAATCTTTAACATCAAACTAAATTTATACCAAGAAACCCAGAAAGCTTAGTCCCAAATGGGAGCCGGAGAGCCATGAACAAGGAGAAGAAGAATGGAAAATCACTATGAAAAAATAAATAATAAAAAAAGTGAAACAAAGAGATATAAAGGGGAGCGAGATTTATGGCGACAGCGACTGGTAAATTGCAATTTGCAGAGACACCAAGGATGAGGATTGAGGAGGAAAGCTTTCAACTGAAGGAAAAATTAAGTCTAGTAGCTTTCCCACTTCCCTCCCTCTCTCTCTCTCTCTCTTTCTCTTTCTCTTTCTCTTTCTCTTTCTCTCTCTGCATTTCCATCTTCAACCGTCGTCAGAGTCTCATCACCTCCCTTTGTTTTCAACACTTTCTCTCTCTCTTCACGTTAAGCTAAAGGATAAAAGATGTCTGTTTACGTGTTTGAATTTTATAATAAGATTTTTATGCTATACTATGGCATGAGTGTTACAATAACAATGATATTGTAAATGGACGGCCTTTGGATTTTTTTGTCTTTTCTTATCAAAGATTTCCGACATATTATATCTTGTGAAATTGATTATGTATTTTAAAATATATTGGTTAATCCATATGTGGGTTAGGGAAGTTACAAGGCAGTGTACTCAGCTATTTGCACTCAATTCCAAATTCTCCAACGAGGTCTAGTCCAGTAAAAAGGAACCTTGAATTACAAACCAGTTGTCTTAGATTTGAATCTCTATATGTGTCAGCACTCAGCAGTGTGGACAAACACTATTTATGGTGACTATCGTAGCAATTTTTTGATGCATTCCCACTCATTGTCATGGTAACCGAAGGGCAATCAATATTTACATGAGATATAAGGAGAGGAATATGTAAGTATTTTAGTGTGGGAAGTTAAAAACATAGCTATGTATTTATAGAAGAAGAAAAAAATTCTGAAATTTCTGGTTTTATTTTTTCTAAAAATTTTGTATTTAAATTGGTCGTTGAAGTTAGATTGCCCAGGCAAGTCTTGCTTTCGGGCTTGCCCAGTTTCATGGGCCCACTTCTTGCCATGGCAAAAAGGGCTGAATGGAAATGATCTAAGAGATTATCTCTTATCAAAACAATAGTAAGATAAACATTTTTGCACCCATCTTTTAGTTGTCTATATTTTATAAAGTAATAATAATTATTATTATATAAAGTTAAGTTGTCAAAATGATTTGGTATTTCATTAAATCCAGAACATTAATCATCAAGATTCTTATTTGAGACATAACAAACACTATTCATGGTGACTATCGTAGCAATTTTTTGATGCATTCCCACTCATTGTCATGGTAATCGAAGGGCAATCAATATTTACATGAGATATAAGGAGAGGAATATGTAAGGATTTTAGTGTGGGAAGTGAAAAACATAGCTACGTATTTATAGAAGAAGAAAAAAATTCTGAAATTTCTGGTTTTTTTTTTTCTGAAAATTTTGTATTTAAATTGGTCGTTGAAGTTAGATTGCCCAGGCAAGTCTTGCTTTCGGGCTTGCCCAGTTTCATGGGCCCACTTCTTGCCATGGCAAAAAGGGCTGAATGGAAATGATCTAAGAGATTATCTCTTATCAAACAATAGTAAGATAAACATTTTTGCACCCATCTTTTAGTTGTCTATATTTTATAAAGTAATAATAATAATTATTATATAAAGTTAAGTTGTCAAAATGGTTTGGTATTTCATTAAATCCAGAACATTAATCATCAAGATTCTTATTTGAGACATTGATAAGATAACCTTATCTCTCTTTTTCTAATTTTCTTCTCTTTTTGCCAAAGTTAAAAAATAAAAGGGGAATTTTCTTATACACACACTTTTAAAATGTCATGTAAATTTAAACCCGTAACTATCTGATAAAATAAAGTTATCTCACGAACAATACAACACAACATGAATTTTATTTGAATATGAACATATTATATTATATCCAGGTTCTCGATCTAACACAACACATTCTTGGTAACAAATAATTATTTGTATAATTAATTAAAAAAAGACAATGAAAAGCTGCATTTTCATGATCACGATGTGAACTTGTTTTGTTGGGGGGTTCATGAAATAGGGTGCGTTTTCGGATTATGTGGAGGCGTTGTCGTCGTAGTTGACAAAACACTGATCTTTCCCAATCTGAATGTGAAGCAGCCATAGCCAGCCAGCCAGACAGGCAGTCCCTATGCTTGCTGGATCAGACAAATTTTAAATTTTTTATGTCTTTTACTACAAAAGTTTGAAATTCTTGGCTTATATTTTTCAAAATTTGACCTCCATAAATACATCTTATAATTACCATGGATTTCTGGATGGGTGCCTGCCTCAGCTGGATAGGTTAGGCAGGGCCTTGTCCTTTTCTGTCCAAAAAAATAGTAACAGAGAAGTCATATTGGTCCAGTCAAATTAGGTGTCAGAAATAATTTCTATGGTTATAAAAAATAAAAATAAAAAGAAGGAAAATAGTCTTAATTGAATGACATTGTCGACTTCTTAATTCAGATTGAGTCCTTGATGGCTGCCACAAAATGTGACGATGGTCCCAAAATTTAGTATGTATTAATTGCCTTCTAGTTCTAAGGTAGCTAATTCATGAACAAATAACAATGAAACGTTGAAAATAAGGACAATAAATGCTTTTTGGCTCAATCAAAATCAAAACTAATGGCTAGGTGTGCGCTGAAACGCGTGTGTGAGTCTTCCCGGCTCCTAAAGAGGGTGAATTGTCGTGGTTCGTCACTAGCTAATTCCCTTTTTTTAATATAAAAAAAGAAAAAGAAAATCAAAACTAATGGCCCCAATAAGTCTACGTATATCTATAATTCCACCTACAATTTAGTCATGGAAGATATGGGACTAAAATCAATACACTCAATTGAAAATAGCTATCTGCAACCTCTATTTTACGTACCATGTTGACTATGGAAAATGAAAATGTTGAAGTTATATTCCGTAGTGTTCATCTTGAAATTGTCCATATGAGCTATTGAGCATGTTTATCTTAAAAGTCGATTTTATAGGGGCAAGTTCTGGTTACTGTGGGATCTTATAATTTCGCACCAAGTGGTGAAGCTTCCCTTTGACTTCCCAATAATACTATTCACAACAAACTTTGGATTATGCTTGAGAAATTAGAATATTAGGCAACACCAATTATAAATATAAATAAATAAATAAAAAGTTGAGTTGTCAAAATTTTGGGAAATCAAAGCTTGAAAACAATGGAAAAGAAAGAACCTTATTATATGAAAGTATGTGTAAATTATTATGATTCCTAGAGGCTATGCGTATGCATGCTTATGTGTGTGCAACTACTACTCTTGGCCTCGCATGGGTTGCGTTAGCTTTAAGATTCCACTTGGGACCGCAAGCCCCAACAACCACATGAACATTGCAACAGAAAAAGAGGCTTATTCAAAATTGTGAGCAATGTTCCTACAACTTCAATAGAACCTAAACTTATCTATACGAGATGCTCTTGTGGCGATATTTTAAGTCAATTATATATTCTCCTTGCATGAAAGTTCTTCTCGTACAAGAATCAGGGCTTGCCTATATGACAAATTTTAGTTAATAATAAGTGCATATGTCACATATACTATTAATATCAAGTTGATATATAATATTCACAATAATCAACGATAATATTGAATTTTATTTTATTATTATTTTATACAAGCGATACTAGGAGACGGTAATATAATAACGAACCCATTGATTACTTGTTGGAAGTTATTATTGTGGGTGTAGTTGGTGCAACTGAATATGGGTGTGTCTTATCCAATTAGACCATGACCTCCTCTCTTATGGCATGCAACAAACGTCAATGGAGAAAATTGAACACAATACCAATCCCCATTTAATGTTGATTTGTACATATCAAACCAAGACATGTTCTACGAGTAGAACCAATAATTTATAGAGGTATTGGAGTGGAATATTTTGACATAGAAAGATGCTTTATTTTAAGGGAGATTCATTATTATACCCAATATAAGAGCCCAAATTATAAAAAAAAAACCTATATGAAATGAACTTTAGAAACACACCAAAAACTCATTTACAACTTAACAAAAAGACTTTTAACTTCTTTTAAATTACAAAACTGCCGTTGATTTATTAAAACAAACCCAACCCCAAAACCTCATAAAAAAAACTCAAAAAACTCAATAGGTCATCAAAGTAATTTAATAATCAAAATTAAATTCAATAGGGCTAGCTGTTATTTTTTGGGTTTGTTTATAGAAATTAAATGGTGTATGGTTTATTTATATTATTAGTGTTAAGAATAGGTATATTAAACTTTAATCACAAGAGAAAGATCATCACAAGCATGATGCTTATTTGTAATTCTAATTCTAATTGTCTTTGTGTTTTTAATTTTTTTTAAACATCAATATTGAATCTAGGAGATGTCCTTTTATCCATCCATTTTCCCTTCAAAGCTATTTGAGCTAAACAAATTCTTGGGGATTATGTTTGTCAAGATCAAGGCGAGTCGTTCTAACGAGTGTGAGGATAAATGCATCATGTTTTTAATGAGTGCGAAGATAATGTTCTCCTCTTTAAGAATCGAGTCTCCACTATTTTAACCTAGCATTTTCGTTTTATCGTCTATTACTATAAAGCTAAAACAAAATTATGATTCATCTATATACCAAAAACTAATGTTTTTCTAACGTAATTAAGATAAATATAGTAATAATAATAAAAATTTAAATAAATAACTTATTTGGGTTCATTTCACCTTTAGAATCCCCAACTAATTTACTAAGACTTTGAGCCCAAAACTAGCCCATGAGATCGGCCAAGACCCCATTTTCATTTTACCCCAAAATATTCACAAAGCCTTCATCAAGCCCAAAACAATTCCTAAAGAAAACAAAAAGCGCGAAAACCCGCCACTCGCCACGTCAGCAATAAACCCCCTATCCCCTCCCATCTCCAAAACCTCTCTCTCAGTCTCTGTCTCTGCAACCTCACTCCCATGGCCTTCACTTTCCTCTCAATCCCCCACTTTCTCTCTCCTCAACACCACTTTCTCTCTCTAAAACCAAACTTCACCTCCCTCAGACCTTCAATTCCCTCTCTTTCAGCTCGGCTCATTAGGCCCCCCCACGCAATCGGGCCGGACGGCAAGTATTACCCGGACCCGGCAGACGACGACCCGCCCGAAGCCCCGGAAGACTCGGGTCACGGGGTGTCCAAGTTCCAGCAAATCCAGCGCCAAGCCTCGCGCCACCGGAAGCTCCAAGAAGAAGACTTCAAAAAGCACCAGGACACCTTCCTCAATGCCATTGCTGACGTGGAAGACGCGCCAGAAAATTCCAGTTCCGTAACAAACGAGAACTCTGGGGACGATTTGTTTGGAGATATTGACCACGCTATTGCCTTGAAACGCAAGGAGTTTGTGAAGCAAGGGCTTCTGAAGCCAAACCCTAAGAAGGAGATTGTTGCGGTTGACGAGTTGGACCCTGAGGAGGTCGTGGACTTGGAGGAGATTGACGAGCTTCAAGGGCTTAGGGTTGTTAGTGAGGACTCGGACGAAGATGGGCCAGAGAAATTTGATTCAAAGGTTAGTGATTTGTCTGGTAAAGATGGAAATTTGCGTTTGAATTCCGAGTTTGATTTGGATTTTGATAGTTATGGTAAAACTAGGGCTAGGATTGTGGAACCTAAGTTTAAAATGAGCTTGGCTGAGCTTTTGGATGAGAGTAAAGTGGTCCCTGTATCGGTTTATGGTGATTTAGAGGTTGAAATCACTGGAATTCAACACGATTCGAGGGTGGTTAATTCTGGTGATTTGTTTGTGTGCTGTGTTGGGAGCAAAACGGATGGGCATTTGTACTTGAGTGAGGCTATTAAGAGAGGAGCAGTGGCTGTTGTAGCAAGTAAAGAGATATACATGGAGGAAAATTTGGGGTGTAAAGCATTAGTCATTGTGGAAGATACCAATGCGGATTTGCCCGCATTGGCTGCGTCCTTTTACAGGTACCCATCAAAGAATATGGCAGTAATTGGGATAACGGGAACAAATGGGAAGACTACGACTGCATATTTGATAAAGGGGTTGTATGAAGCAATGGGATTGAGGACAGGTATGTTGAGTACAGTTGCTTATTATGTGCATGGGGATAATAAGTTGGAGTCACCTAACACGACCCCGGATGCTGTTTTGGTTCAGAATTTGATGGCTAAGATGCTCCATAATGGGGCTGAAGCAGTTGTCATGGAAGCTTCTTCTCATGGGCTAGCTCTAGCAAGGTGCGATGAAGTTGATTTTGACATAGCAGTTTTCACAAATTTGACGAGAGACCATTTGGATTTTCACAAGACTGAGGAGGAGTATAGGGATGCAAAGGCTAAGTTGTTTTCGAGGATGGTGGATCCAGAAAGGCACAGGAAAGTTGTCAATATTGATGACCCGAATGCAACCTTCTTCATTGCAAAAGGGAACCCAGATGTTCCGGTTGTGACCTTTGCCATGGAGAATAAGAATGCAGATGTTCATCCCCTGAAGTTTGAACTTTCCTTGTTTGAGACGCAGGTTTTAGTCAGTACTCCCCAGGGTATATTGGAGATATCATCGGGTTTGCTTGGAAGGCATAATATTTACAATATACTGGCTGCTGTGGCAGTTGGGATTGCAGTTGGAGCACCATTGGAGGACATTGTTAGAGGAATTGAAGAGGTTGATGCAGTTCCAGGGAGGTGTGAGTCTTCCCGGCTCCTAAAGAGGGTGAATTGTCGTGGTTCGTCACTAGCTAATTCCCTTTTTTTAATATAAAAAAAGAAAAAGAAAATCAAAACTAATGGCCCCAATAAGTCTACGTATATCTATAATTCCACCTACAATTTAGTCATGGAAGATATGGGACTAAAATCAATACACTCAATTGAAAATAGCTATCTGCAACCTCTATTTTACGTACCATGTTGACTATGGAAAATGAAAATGTTGAAGTTATATTCCGTAGTGTTCATCTTGAAATTGTCCATATGAGCTATTGAGCATGTTTATCTTAAAAGTCGATTTTATAGGGGCAAGTTCTGGTTACTGTGGGATCTTATAATTTCGCACCAAGTGGTGAAGCTTCCCTTTGACTTCCCAATAATACTATTCACAACAAACTTTGGATTATGCTTGAGAAATTAGAATATTAGGCAACACCAATTATAAATATAAATAAATAAATAAAAAGTTGAGTTGTCAAAATTTTGGGAAATCAAAGCTTGAAAACAATGGAAAAGAAAGAACCTTATTATATGAAAGTATGTGTAAATTATTATGATTCCTAGAGGCTATGCGTATGCATGCTTATGTGTGTGCAACTACTACTCTTGGCCTCGCATGGGTTGCGTTAGCTTTAAGATTCCACTTGGGACCGCAAGCCCCAACAACCACATGAACATTGCAACAGAAAAAGAGGCTTATTCAAAATTGTGAGCAATGTTCCTACAACTTCAATAGAACCTAAACTTATCTATACGAGATGCTCTTGTGGCGATATTTTAAGTCAATTACATATTCTCCTTGCATGAAAGTTCTTCTCGTACAAGAATCAGGGCTTGCCTATATGACAAATTTTAGTTAATAATAAGTGCATATGTCACATATACTATTAATATCAAGTTGATATATAATATTCACAATAATCAACGATAATATTGAATTTTATTTTATTATTATTTTATACAAGCGATACTAGGAGACGGTAATATAATAACGAACCCATTGATTACTTGTTGGAAGTTATTATTGTGGGTGTAGTTGGTGCAACTGAATATGGGTGTGTCTTATCCAATTAGACCATGACCTCCTCTCTTATGGCATGCAACAAACGTCAATGGAGAAAATTGAACACAATACCAATCCCCATTTAATGTTGATTTGTACATATCAAACCAAGACATGTTCTACGAGTAGAACCAATAATTTATAGAGGTATTGGAGTGGAATATTTTGACATAGAAAGATGCTTTATTTTAAGGGAGATTCATTATTATACCCAATATAAGAGCCCAAATTATAAAAAAAAAACCTATATGAAATGAACTTTAGAAACACACCAAAAACTCATTTACAACTTAACAAAAAGACTTTTAACTTCTTTTAAATTACAAAACTGCCGTTGATTTATTAAAACAAACCCAACCCCAAAACCTCATAAAAAAAACTCAAAAAACTCAATAGGTCATCAAAGTAATTTAATAATCAAAATTAAATTCAATAGGGCTAGCTGTTATTTTTTGGGTTTGTTTATAGAAATTAAATGGTGTATGGTTTATTTATATTATTAGTGTTAAGAATAGGTATATTAAACTTTAATCACAGGAGAAAGATCATCACAAGCATGATGCTTATTTGTAATTCTAATTCTAATTGTCTTTGTGTTTTTAATTTTTTTTAAACATCAATATTGAATCTAGGAGATGTCCTTTTATCCATCCATTTTCCCTTCAAAGCTATTTGAGCTAAACAAATTCTTGGGGATTATGTTTGTCAAGATCAAGGCGAGTCGTTCTAACGAGTGTGAGGATAAATGCATCATGTTTTTAATGAGTGCGAAGATAATGTTCTCCTCTTTAAGAATCGAGTCTCCACTATTTTAACCTAGCATTTTCGTTTTATCGTCTATTACTATAAAGCTAAAACAAAATTATGATTCATCTATATACCAAAAACTAATGTTTTTCTAACGTAATTAAGATAAATATAGTAATAATAATAAAAATTTAAATAAATAACTTATTTGGGTTCATTTCACCTTTAGAATCCCCAACTAATTTACTAAGACTTTGAGCCCAAAACTAGCCCATGAGATCGGCCAAGACCCCATTTTCATTTTACCCCAAAATATTCACAAAGCCTTCATCAAGCCCAAAACAATTCCTAAAGAAAACAAAAAGCGCGAAAACCCGCCACTCGCCACGTCAGCAATAAACCCCCTATCCCCTCCCATCTCCAAAACCTCTCTCTCAGTCTCTGTCTCTGCAACCTCACTCCCATGGCCTTCACTTTCCTCTCAATCCCCCACTTTCTCTCTCCTCAACACCACTTTCTCTCTCTAAAACCAAACTTCACCTCCCTCAGACCTTCAATTCCCTCTCTTTCAGCTCGGCTCATTAGGCCCCCCCACGCAATCGGGCCGGACGGCAAGTATTACCCGGACCCGGCAGACGACGACCCGCCCGAAGCCCCGGAAGACTCGGGTCACGGGGTGTCCAAGTTCCAGCAAATCCAGCGCCAAGCCTCGCGCCACCGGAAGCTCCAAGAAGAAGACTTCAAAAAGCACCAGGACACCTTCCTCAATGCCATTGCTGACGTGGAAGACGCGCCAGAAAATTCCAGTTCCGTAACAAACGAGAACTCTGGGGACGATTTGTTTGGAGATATTGACCACGCTATTGCCTTGAAACGCAAGGAGTTTGTGAAGCAAGGGCTTCTGAAGCCAAACCCTAAGAAGGAGATTGTTGCGGTTGACGAGTTGGACCCTGAGGAGGTCGTGGACTTGGAGGAGATTGACGAGCTTCAAGGGCTTAGGGTTGTTAGTGAGGACTCGGACGAAGATGGGCCAGAGAAATTTGATTCAAAGGTTAGTGATTTGTCTGGTAAAGATGGAAATTTGCGTTTGAATTCCGAGTTTGATTTGGATTTTGATAGTTATGGTAAAACTAGGGCTAGGATTGTGGAACCTAAGTTTAAAATGAGCTTGGCTGAGCTTTTGGATGAGAGTAAAGTGGTCCCTGTATCGGTTTATGGTGATTTAGAGGTTGAAATCACTGGAATTCAACACGATTCGAGGGTGGTTAATTCTGGTGATTTGTTTGTGTGCTGTGTTGGGAGCAAAACGGATGGGCATTTGTACTTGAGTGAGGCTATTAAGAGAGGAGCAGTGGCTGTTGTAGCAAGTAAAGAGATATACATGGAGGAAAATTTGGGGTGTAAAGCATTAGTCATTGTGGAAGATACCAATGCGGATTTGCCCGCATTGGCTGCGTCCTTTTACAGGTACCCATCAAAGAATATGGCAGTAATTGGGATAACGGGAACAAATGGGAAGACTACGACTGCATATTTGATAAAGGGGTTGTATGAAGCAATGGGATTGAGGACAGGTATGTTGAGTACAGTTGCTTATTATGTGCATGGGGATAATAAGTTGGAGTCACCTAACACGACCCCGGATGCTGTTTTGGTTCAGAATTTGATGGCTAAGATGCTCCATAATGGGGCTGAAGCAGTTGTCATGGAAGCTTCTTCTCATGGGCTAGCTCTAGCAAGGTGCGATGAAGTTGATTTTGACATAGCAGTTTTCACAAATTTGACGAGAGACCATTTGGATTTTCACAAGACTGAGGAGGAGTATAGGGATGCAAAGGCTAAGTTGTTTTCGAGGATGGTGGATCCAGAAAGGCACAGGAAAGTTGTCAATATTGATGACCCGAATGCAACCTTCTTCATTGCAAAAGGGAACCCAGATGTTCCGGTTGTGACCTTTGCCATGGAGAATAAGAATGCAGATGTTCATCCCCTGAAGTTTGAACTTTCCTTGTTTGAGACGCAGGTTTTAGTCAGTACTCCCCAGGGTATATTGGAGATATCATCGGGTTTGCTTGGAAGGCATAATATTTACAATATACTGGCTGCTGTGGCAGTTGGGATTGCAGTTGGAGCACCATTGGAGGACATTGTTAGAGGAATTGAAGAGGTTGATGCAGTTCCAGGGAGGTGTGAGTTAATAGACGAGGAACAGGCATTTGGAGTGATTGTGGACTATGCTCATACTCCTGATGCCTTGTCTAGACTTTTGGACTCTGTTAGGGAGCTTGGTGCAAGGAGGATTATTAGTGGTATGCTTCTTATGTTCCATTTTTTTATATGATCATTTCTAAAGCTAGAATTGCTGTTTAATTGCAGACTTTTAACATGCATCCAAATTCTCTGCCCATTTTAGAACTGTAATATTGCTATAGAAAGTAATAATATCTAGATTGAGTAAATAGTAGGTTGAAACCATTTTGTAAGAAGAGGCTTATTCTTATTGCATGTTCTGTGTACAAGAGTTTTTGTTAATCATAATTTTTTCCATTCTTTGGCATTATTCCTGATACTCATCAGAAATGCTATACTAATTTTTTTAGCACAATATTGTTGTTTTTTCTTTGCTGACCAACTATTTTTTGTGCTTTATGCGAAGTAATTGGATGTCCTGGGGAGAGTGACAGAGGGAAAAGACCCATGATGACGAAGATTGCAACAGATAAAAGTGATGTGACAATACTGACGTCTGACAATCCAAAGAATGAAGATCCATGTATGTATATCATACCTCCAAACTGAAAGAAAAGGCATAATTGTTATTTTCTTTGCTACATGCTATCATTGATGTGGGAAAAAAAATCTTTATTCTTATATGAAAAAAAAAGGGCAAATTTGATTGATGGCGTAATTTCTATAATTTTTCTGTGTCTATAAATTTAGGTGTGGTCCATATGTCTCTGAAAATGCTAGTCTATAATGTGTAGTATTCTCTCCAAATGCTTGGTCTAATGCTTACACTTGTCATTGGTATCAGTGGACATCTTGGATGATATGTTGGCCGGTGTAGGATGGACAATGCAGGATTACTTGAAACATGGCGAGAATGATTACTACCCACCTCTTCCAAACGGTCATAGGCTTTTCCTGCATGATATTAGACGAGTAGCTGTCCGCTGTGCAGTTGCCATGGGCGAGGAAGGTGATATGGTTGTAAGTTTTCTAAGCCTCAATCTACTTCCATGTGCAAGATTTATGTATAAACAAGAAAGAAGTCACACAAAATGGAATATCCTCTCTCTCTCTCTCTCTCTCGCTCAAAACCTTTTTTTTTTTACTTATACATTATCATTTATACATAGATTTCAATTGTACACTGCATCTGGTCATTTCAAATCCCAAAATTTACTTTATATTTTAAACCTCTGCATCCAAGTGTAACCCAAAAGAATTGGCATTTATTTAGTTGTGCAAGATGCATAAGTGGTATTCTTCAAGAGATTCTGAGAGGACTCCGGTGAAGATAACAAAGAAACTTAAAGGTTTTGAACAAGAAATAAGCTTGTTTGGTATGCAAACAAAGTATGTTTACTCTAGCCACTATAATATAGATGAAAAAGCAAAATCTGAATTCTTTTTCTTTTCGTGTGTGATGAATGAGTCACATAATTAGTACGCTCCCTGGCATTGCTCTCCAATTCTCATAACTTTTCTTGTTACTCTTTTTAAGATTATGTTGCATTTCTGCAGGTGGTTGCTGGCAAAGGCCATGAAGCACATCAGATAGAAGGTGACAAAAAAGAGTTCTTTGATGACCGCGAAGAGTGCCGAGAGGCATTGCAGTATGTTGATGAGCTTCACCAAGCTGGAATAGACACAAGTGAATTTCCGTGGAGGTAGGTTAATTGAGTGTAATTTGCATTTACTTAAACATGAGGTATCTCTAATTTTAAGCATCTCCAGAAGACCTATCTATTCCTATGAGAAAAAAATGGCTTCACTAATTGGCGCAGTCTTGTAATTATTCTTTTATTGTTTGGTGCAGTACATCATACATAAAGATATTTCATTATTGTTGGAGTGCTATAATTGATTTGGTTTTCTGATGCTTGATTCATTCGCTAATATATACTTATCTGAGTCATCTGACAAACAGCACTACTAGCTTCTATCTATGATTTGTTTTTTTATAATTTATTTTATCAGTATTTAGGATTTGATATGTGCAATTAGAGATACTCTGTTTAAAGAAAAACTAAGTGCAATTGTTGTAGATCTTGCAAGTGAGGAATTGTTGATATAATGTGAAGATTAATCATTGTTTTTCCTTGACTTGACACAGGTTACCTGAGAGTCATTGATCTCTTCCGTAAGGAGTAGTCAATTATGGCGAGTCCAAGGCAGCTCCGGCACATTGTGTTGATTTACACTAGGAGATATTTCTAATACCTGGATACCATCTAGAGGGCATGTGACCAAGTGTATTAACCTTGGTTTGGTTGAGTGAATGATATGCCATATATGTGAAGGCAGTTGAGACTCGAGAACGGCTTCTTGGTTATTAAAGACTGGTGTGAATTCTACTCCATAATTTATTTGTCAACGTTTATTTCTAGAGACAAATGTTCATCCGAACTTTTTCTTTATGTATGCATGCAGGTTGTTGAGGCTTTGCTCTTTGAAGCGGTATAGTTTTGCAGAAAGCTGAAAATTTTCACCTAGAAGGTTATTATAGGCACAATTTTTGTAGGCAATGTATGTAGAATGTACTGCTATGTAAACTAAAATCCTGGGTTGCCAATATGCCACAATTTAAATGAATCCAATTGGTTGGTCCAGTTAGAATGAATATTAGTTCTTGTAAGTTCCTGTATAAATCAAGATGGATGGAGCAATGCATGGTCCCTCTCTCTCTCTCAAGCATTTATGCATTTATACATTTTTATGTGCAAGTGCACAACTTTTTGTATAGACAGAGACTAGAAAATTAATTGATGGATGTACACCCAAAACAAATCAGGTTCTGTAATGAAGTATTGCATGTGTTTCTTGCCCACCTGTAAATTATAATGTAATAGCTTTATGAAACAAGATATAACCAACTTTTTTCTTGAATATTTCTATACAATTCCATCTAATAATTAACAAATTTGTACATGGCCGACTCCGGTCAGATTTGTAAACCCAAAAAAAACTCCGGTCAGATTTTTCTTTAATTCCTTTTCTATACGAGGATATTTTCTACTAAAAATGAAAAAAAAAAAATTACTATTTTGCAATTCAAATAATTTTCCGTGCCATTGAATTTAAGAAAATGGACAAATATGTTCAACACAAAGGTCTTATTTTTCCTTTTCAAGTCAAAAGGTCTTAGATTAATTACATAACCCACAAATTATTTTATATTATAATAATTATATGAGAAAACCCAAAAGGTTGAAAAAACAAATATATAAAAAGAGAGAGGCCTGAAAGGAAAGGCCAGATAAATTCTTGGTAAGGCAAACTTTCCTTACCATCATGAAAAGGAAGGGGTTTGGTGGAAACAGATATGAATTGTTAGTGTTGTGAATTTGAGTGCAGAAAATCATTAACTTTTTTACCAAATAAACAATCTTTTTTTACTTATCAAGACCAGTGAGTGTGTTTGCAAAACTGGAATTGTCCACCTCCAGTCCTCCTAGACCAACTTATTGGAAAGAGGGGAACAAAAACAACCCCATAACTTTACCTGCCACCCCTCACCCAACTCACTGGCTCTCCAAATGCAGCACACTGCTCACAGTCGTGACACAAATTAATACTTACAGCCAAAAGCATATTGTTTTGCTTTCCTTTTGGAGAGAGCCAGAGAGAGAGAGAGACATGCTCTGAGGCAAAAAGCTACAGTTTTTAACATGGAGTTTTGGAGTTTGAGCAGAGGAATTTCATGGTTTCAACAGAGTTTCATCCACTGATGTATGGTATGAAAAATATTCATCTCATAAATGAATAACAAAAGAAAGCCCATGGCTTGGTGTTTTTTCTTTTGCTATTTACATTATTCTTGATAATTTTCTCCATTGTTTCATACCGAATCTTCAAGCTTTTATGATTATGTTTCTGGGTTTTTGAATAAATACAGGGAGTAATGTAAGTTAGAACCTGCAACAACAACAAAAATTTCTTTCGGCTAAAAACTTGAATTTTTGTATGGTATATGATTGTTCTCCTAATGGTTTGTTGTTGCCTTTCTCTGGAGCTCTGTGATCATTATTGGAGAGAATGATTCACCTTTCATACTTGCATGTTAGTTTTGTTTGTAAATCACTAATATGATTGTTCATGTTGGTCGTTGCTATCCCCCTGGTGTTTTTTCTTTTGTTACTTCTTGTACTATTCTTTCATGATTTTCTCCATTCTTTGATGCCAAATGTTCAATTTTTTATAATCATCTGGGTTTCTGAAATAATATAAGGAAGTAATGTAATTTAGAACCTGCAAAGTTTTTTTTCGGCTAATAACTTGAATTTTTGTTTTGCATATATGATTGTTCTCTTAATGACGCGTGGCTTTCTTTGGAGCTTTGTGATCATTGTTGGAGATTAATTTACCTTCGAAGTCACTACTTGCATGTTAGTTGTGTAATATGATTGCTGATGCTGATAGTTAATATCCCCTGGTAGAGTTTTTGAGCTGGTGAGGCATACATATTGTTCAATAAGGTAGCTTTTCATTCATGTCTTTCTGGGTTGTTATAGCTTTTGGGATTAGAAGATTTGCAGGGCTCTTAATTGAAGTTTTTATTATTGATTATTTGCTTAAATTTGGGCCTCCATGGAAATTGGATTTAGGGTTAGTGGGATTAGCAATTCAATTTTCCCTGGTGCTCTTATGGTCACACTGGTGTTTCGCTCGTATGCTGTCCAAAGGTTTCTGTTAGTTTTTATACTTGGAGTCTAGGAAATTCATGAGTACATTTGTTTTCAACGATGCGGTTGTTTGTTAGTGTTTAATTGTGACTTCGGATAATTTTTCTGATGAATACTCTATTTCTATCCCATTTATTCATTCAACTTGACCCATGCTTCTTATTTTCCTTGCAGGACTCAGAAAAAGGAACTCAGTAGAAGATACCAGACCAATTTGGGTTCTAGCTAGTGGTTTTTCAAAAACCACTCATTCGATCAAATAAGTAAGCCCCAGTAGGTGGTAATACTGTTAACCAACAGCCACTCTCCTTCAAGAAACCAGTTGGAGTATTGATACGCAGGCCTCATAATCTCTGTTCAAACTTTTAGGTCGTTGGATACTTTGTAAAGCAGTGCAACATTCGAAGTTCTTTTCTGATACAAGTCAGTAAAGCTCTGATGTCACCCAGCTCTAAAATGGGTGATGGGTTGAAGCAGCAGAGGTGGGAGTTTAGGAGGAGGGACAGTGACATGGATTCTTCAAGTGATGAGTCTAAATCAAGTAGTGAGGCGGCTCACAAGAAGCATAACCTGGTTTGCAGTTTGATTCCACTTGAAAATGATGAAGCAATTGGTAACTGCAGAGTCCAGCAGACTGGCATGTGCAATCCTCATATGGATGATCAGATCATGTTTCAGAAAGGTAAAAGGGTGCATCTTAGGAGGAGGAAAAAGGATAATTGGATTAATAATGACATGGAGAGGGATTCCCGTAAAGAAGTTAGTAGAAAAAAGAGTAGAACTAGTGTTTACGATCCTGCTGCTTTGGATGAACTTAAAATCTTCATGGAGTCCTTATTGGAGGATCTTAAAGTGACAAGAGAAAATTTGTTTTCATGGATGAGGAAGGAAATGCAAGAACTGGTGGCTGATGATGATGCTGCTCCACGTCTTGAGCGAAGAAAAGGAAGTTCTGGAGGGAAAAACGTCCGAGTACAGAATGGAGACAACTTTGTGGAAAACACCATCTCTAAGGAGTATATACAGGTGCATAATAAAAGAAAACTTGAGGAAAACATTATAATTCAGCATCAAAAAAACTTTGACGAAAATGTCCTGGTGCAACGTGAAAGCAACTCTGAGCAGAATGCATGTCCAGAACATCATAACAAATTTAAGGAGACCTTCCAAGTGCAGCATCAGGGCAACTTTGAAAAAGTAGATGTTCAAGTGAACTATCGAAATAACTCAGACCTTGGCATGAAAGCTCAAAAATGTGATATGGGATCAATAGAGAGGAGTGTTAAAAGCAATACAGCAGCAGGTTATGATAATTGCTCTCCTCTTAAGCCAAATTTTCAATCTGCAGACAAGAATGTGTGGATGCAGCATGAAAAGAAATATCTATCAGGCACAGGAGCTCAAGCTTACAGTGGTAGATCTTTAGAGAGCCCTTTAATAGGCAGAAAGATGGCTCAATCTAATTATTTCTATCCAGTAATTGAACATCGAGTTGATCGTGTTCAAGAAATTGGAGCCGGAACATCATCTGAAAAGGATAGAGGTGAGAGGTTGGGATTACCTATTGAGTCCATTTTTTCTTCCAATCTTTCCAGTCAGGTAGCTTCTTCAATGTATTTGTCATTACCCACTGTGTTAACTGAGCCCTGTGTTGAGAACCATATGCTTAATACTTCTTCAAGCAATTATATTCGAACACCATTTGATAGAAACAAACTAGATGTGAACTATGGGAAGGCAAATCCGATGCTCAAAGTAAATGGTCATCATGGAAAATCATCAGGCATGCAGCAAGAAGAAAGAAATGGAAGCTTTGCTCAACTAGGGTCCAGAAATATGAGTTGTTTCGATAAACAATGCATCCCAAGTTCAAGCATTGGAACAGGATTCCCAGTTCCACTTCATCAGGGTACGGACATTGGTGTTAGCATTCCAAGCCAAGTAAGTTTGCAATACCTACCCCAGGAAGAAACAAACATAATGGGTTTAAGGATGGATGAAGGAGCCTCAACGTTCTCTGGTGGAAGCTATGCTGCTATATCAGAAGGCTATCTTGCAAACACTTTTTACAGAAATTCCATTAGTAAAGCTCATGACAGACTGAAGGCATTTCAAAATCAAGACCTTGAAGAGGGCCTTTTATTCCCAAAATAGCATAAGTTATAACAGGGTTGAACAATGGACAAGATTCAAATTTTCTGTTATGACATGCTTTTGCAGAAAAGAAGCCAATGGTGCTTTGCTTTCTATGTTTTGTTGTTCCAGAAAACAGGCAACAATCAAATTAAATTTCTGCTGTCTTCTTGGTTTATGTCATTTTGAAACTGGGATTCCAACTTTCTTGTTTTGTCATGTTTTGATGCATAACCACCATTAATTTCTTGGTTCTGAGGACATGTTGACAGAGCTAGCTTTGTGACCAAGCCAACTGGCTGCAGAATTTGAAACTTTGCTGACAAGTAGATGTTGAGCTGTGTTAACTTACAACTTACTGAGATTCTGAGATGATTTAGTGGGGTGGTAAATTTTATGTTTTTTTTCTTCCCTTGATTTGGATATGATTTGTTGGTCATAATATTCTGGTGCTGATACTTCTTCTTCATACTATTATTGCACATGAATGGATTTGGGGGTCAATGAATCTTGAAATTCTCTAAAACACCATATCCCATTCTCATTTGCCTACCGAAATCTTATTTGTCTGCCACTAATGAAGATATGAACAGAACCAAAAATAAATAAAATTGCTTAAATCTCACGACCAGCTAAAATGCTGCTCAACCACCTTCCATATCCACTTTATGGCTCAGTAGAAATATAGCCACTATCCCCCCCTGGTTCCCTATACATGCAAACTTTGGAGCTTATTCTAAGATAATAAATTGAGAATGTGAACTAAGCAGCCTCATTGGTTTATCTCTCCTCTTAATGCTCGTACTGTAGTAAAAAATCTGTTTACTACTGAGATTGAAATGCAAAGATGGAGATGGGAATTTTATCTACTTACTTCGACTTGTATGTACCAAAAATTTTGCTAGCATCAGTACTCCACACTTTTATATACAAAAGATGAAAATGAATGTCAATGCATTAAGCATATTAATCCTCTACACGTGTATATACGAAAAATGAAATATGACCGTTAATACATGTATGAATGGCAATTTGACTGTACTCACGTCTGCTCAATATGGACTCATTAGAGCCATTAGCTTCTGGACAGATTCTGAAGTGGGTTGCTTTACACATATCATAATCATTGGTTTATAATGTATGATGTACGCAAATAGTAAAGTTTCCTTGATTTAGGCCAACAAATTGTAAATTATGTATGAATGGCAATTTGACTGTACTCACGTGTGCTCAATATGGACTCGTTAATTTAGAGCCATTAGCTTCTGGACAGATTCTGAAGTGGGTTGCTTTATACATATCATAATCATTGGTTTATAATGTATGATGTACGCAAATAGTAAAGTTTCCTTGATTTAGGCCAACAAATTGTAAATTATTGAGAAAGACAAGATTACATACGTTAACAAGACAAAAGATCAGCAAGAAAGAAAAAAACGTGATGTGCCCGGCAGACAAATTTCCTTGTCAGATGTGGACCATTGGAGTATGGGGCATGCAAACGTAAGCCTCAATTTCTTTCAACTTTTCTGTTTCCGTTGAATTTTGGTTTATAATTTATGTGGATTTTTTTTTTCTATTGCTTGTGTCAAATTCTTACCAACGGATGATGGCTGGTTGGTTCTTATGGACATTGCCACATGCAACTCAGAACACCAAAAAACACAATGCCCTGTTCGGACACGTTTATGTCGAGGACATCTTGGCAAAAACAAGAAATCCGTCAACACCTTTTTTGTTTTAGTGTGATAATTCAGTGCCTAATCAAAACACTAGTTTCCTCCATTGATATGATAACAATTCTGACATGTTTACAAGGAGAGAAAACAAATGGGTATAAAATCAACTACCCCACTAACATATTGTAATATGGAATTCACACGTACGTTTTTAACTTTCTATATATTTAGGTCATCGTTTAATAACAAATGGAGTGAGAGTTATTCTAAATTTTTGCTTCTTCTATGTTTACTAATGGTGTTTTTATGAGCAAGGGGGGATAAACCCCACAAACAAAAACAACCACAAACAGAACTATAGACGGTTTTAATTATCAAATCACATTGCATGATGAAAAAAGAAAAGGCAAAAGATAACATATGTAAAGGAGAATGCAAGAAATATGCTATAGGGATGGAGGTCTACCCTGACGCTGGTGGTGAGCGTAGTCAACCTCCACCTAAACTTTTTTTCATTAAAAAAAAACTATGTGTTTATATATATATATTATATAATATTATCAAAGGAGTCCTGGATATTCCAAAACCAGCTGGAGACCAATTTGCAAATGACACCTACTACAATGTTAATGAAATACCAGGTGAAGGTGTATTTAATTAATATGATAAATTAAAGGTCCTTAAAAGAAAAATAATATCACAAACCATAATTAAATATATTTTCCCGCGGTCTTCAACTGCCCCGGTGTAGTCAAATACCCATTTGCTGACAAAAATAAGTAAAAAATTTATTTATTCTCAAATTCAAGAGTCAGGTAATTAATTTAATAATGAAATTTAATTAATTTAGTTGCCAAGGCAATCATCAAAACGCACCGTCCTCCTCTTCCTTCTCTTCGGTAAACGTCACTCTGCAACAGACGCATAGTAGATCCAAAGCATTTATTTTAATTTTATTTGTTCGTTTTTCCCTGAGCTAATATTAGCTTTTCCTTTTTCTGTTAACAGTAGCATCACAGAAACAAAGCGAAAGTCTCTTTCTTTCATAGCTACAAGCTTGTGAATCTGTGATGCAGAGAAAGAAGAGCCAAAAGGGTTCTTAAAAGATCGAGGAAGGGTTCAAGAACTCATGGATTCGCAGAGGCTTTGTGGGTTAGTGTTTGTGTCAGCTCTGATTCTACTGGTCTCTAAGCCTAGCTCTGTGACAGCTGGGGATATAGTGCACGATGACGATTCAGCTCCAAAGAAGCCTGGGTGTGAGAACAATTTCGTTTTGGTAATCTAATGCTGCTTTATCTCGCCGACTTTTCATGTTCTTGTGTTTTAGCTACTGGGTCTTGCTTTTTGTTCATGGGTTTTGGTGTAATTATGGGTTATTTGTGGAAGAAAATGAGATGGTGATGTGATTAACTGAGTAGGATAATATAAATATTCATTTTTGTACAATTGGGAGCTGTTAGTGCACCGGATGAAGTTCAAAGTGATGAATTTGCATTTGCAAGTTTGTTGTTTTTATGCTTTTGGATTGGAATTGGGTTGTTGTTTGGTCTTATTGATTAATCAGGTTGTTGAACTGATTGACATGAACATAGTTTAAGTTAGTATACAGTACGTTTCTATATTCTCCCCTTGTAGTCATCCAGCTCATTCTTATATTTCCTTCTATTTTCCCCTCACCTTCAAAATGTTTCCCTTTTGAACAGTACGTTTCTATATTCTCCCCTTGTAGTCATCCAGCTCATTCTTATATTTCCTTCTAATGGAGGAGTTTGGGTTGGATTTTTTGTACTGTCTCATGATTATAGATTAAGGACCGGCAATGGCAATGGTATTTCATGCCATGCAGTTTTGGGGTGTTTAAAAAGCAGGAGGGATACACGAGGCTAAAATTTCCTCCCTTTTGGCTCATAATGATGCTTCCTCTTCTTTTTCTTTTTATTATTTTCCTGTTTTAAATTGATATGGAAATGTGTAGACTTCTGGTCAGCTGTGATTGGAGGGACATTTATTCATGCTTCCATGGCACATGCCTTTTCAATAAGTATGGCTCATTTTTCAAATTGATGCTTTGTAACTGGTTTAGAGGAAAGTTGGTTTCAATCTGGATAGTGAAGTTTATTCTGGATGGCTCATGCAACTTACTTGACCTGTTGGTGATTTCTATCTATATATAATTACCCACTGCTCTATCACGAACTGTTTTGTAGGTAAAAGTTCAAACTTGGGTTGATGGTGTAGAGGCAAGTGAGTTTGTTGGCGTGGGTGCTAGATTTGGAACTACCATTGAATCAAAGGAGAAAAAAGCACAGCAAACTCACCTTATTCTTTCAAATCCTCGTGATTGTTGTAACAAACAAAATAATAAGGTTTTCATGTTTAAACTATATTCTCTTGACATTCATGGTCACAAACATCAAGCAAATATGTTATATGTTTTTTTAACATCAATGTGTTTTCTTTTTAATGTTTGTTTAGCTTGCTGGAGATGTCATCATGGTGGACCGAGGCCACTGCAAATTCACAACTAAAGCAAATTTTGCCCAACAAGCTAATGCCTCCGCTGTACTCATTGTAAATAACCAGAAAGGTAAAGAATATATGTTTGGGTCATTTGATGTGTGCATTGACTAGTAATGGTATGTCAAAAAAGCTTCACTATCCAAATATATATATGTGTGTGTGTGTGTGTGTGTGTGTGTGTGTGTGTTGTTGTTATGCTACTCATAGATAGATTGAAACTATTATGTAACATGTTAGTTCTCATTTTCCTTGATAAGGGACTAATTTTAGAGCTTTCAGTTAGATATATGAATGTTGAAACATAGAAATATAATCAAACAGAGATAAATGTCTTGCAAACCATATTCGTTTCATATCAAATGTGTCTCTTTTTGGCAGAACTTTACAAGATGGTGTGTGAGCCAGATGAAACTGCTTTAGATATACGCATACCAGCTGTCATGCTCCCGCAGGATGCTGGTGCTACCTTGGAAAAGATGTTAATGAATAATTCATTGGGTATGCTTCCCTATACTCAAAGAACATTTATAACCCACAAAAATTTGTGCTTCGAGATATATTGGAATTTTCCTTAGCATTTTTGTAGCTTCAGAAATGTAAGCATCTAAGATGTGCTTTTCACTTAGGATAATAATATCTTTAGCATTCTTTGTTGGATGTATATGTACCTTATACCTTTACTGGATAGCTTTCTAATTGTAGGCTCTCTGCAGTTTCTGTGCAGTTGTACTCACCGCAACGACCTGTTGTTGACATTGCGGAAGTATTTTTATGGTTGATGGCTGTCGGTACTATCTTGTGTGCATCTTATTGGTCTGCATGGAGTGCCAGAGAAGCATCTATTGAACAGGACAAGCTATTAAAGGTCACCTTTTGCCAGCCTTAGCTAAATTGGTCTAGGTTTATATTTTAATTTTGCTTTCGTGTTGTGTTGTTCTACTGAAGCTTGTTAGTATGTATTGATTAGAAATTCATTGTCTTGTAGGATGCTTCTGATGAAATTCCAAGTGCCAAAGCTCCTTTAGGTGCCAGCGTAGTAGACATCAGCACAACATCAGCTGTCTTGTTTGTTATTATTGCTTCATGCTTCTTGGTTATACTCTACAAGCTTATGTCAGGCTGGTTTGTCGAGCTTTTGGTTGTTCTTTTTTGCATAGGTGGTGTAGAGGTATGAGTCCTCCCAATTCTAATTAATCAACTTATGATGCATCTGCATGCTTACATTCTTGCACAAAGCATTTACCTCAACTTCAATTTTATACATATGCAC